CATTCCTGGTGACAAACCCAGTTCCTCAGTTGTGCACCCTTCTACCTTCAGCTGCTCCTCAACGTTAGTTTGGCTGACCTGTGTTTGGCTGCCCACCAGGCAGCAAGACTGAACTCCCAAGAGATGGTTCAGGTTGATGCCATTTTCCCCATACAGGCTGACATAATAGAGATGCTCAAAGGAGTTAAAGGATTTGATGTAAGCACTCACTCTTTTGCCTAGCACCAGCGCTTTCAGCTCATCGATCTGCAACGAGGACCAGCCACAGCCCCCATCTGAGATCCCTAGAAGAGCACATGGGTAAGTCACCACAGGCATACGAAAACACTCAACAGGCAAATGGCGCAGGTTAGCTCTGGTCACAGTCTCCTTCCTGCCATAGTCCACAAAGATCACCAAAGCCTCTTGCTGGTCTGGCTCCTCAGCAAGAAGCTCCAGCAGGAGTGCACGGTACCACTGGCCATCTATGCCACGGGCGGCACAGGGTGAGCCCACTTTGGGTAACAAATCCTGCTCCCACTGGTCATACGTGTGGTGCATGGTATCAGAAAGGCTACGGATCTCCTGGGACAAACTCTGCAGCTGGCAGTAGATATGATGTGGGTCAGAGACATGGGTCACCAGGACAGGCTCTGCCACGCCCAGCTGAAGCCGCGGGTAGAAGTAATCCAAGACAGGTAACACAGGCTGATAGGAGAGCAAAACGTGGAGAAGCTGTGGCACTGCTGGAGGCTCCAGCTGGTTCCACGCGTGGTCACCAGTGAGGCAGCGCCTCCGCACCTGACAGAACCAGCTGGGACTGACCTGCCTGGCCAGGCCCAGGTGCCGCATCTGGGCCACAAGCTGGGGCAGCTCAAGCACTACGAGCTGTGGCGTGATCACCTCCTGCACCAGGCCAGACACCTCCTTGCCATGCGTGGCACTGCTGGAGGCTCCAGCTGGTTCCACGCGTGGTCACCAGTGAGGCAGCGCCTCCGCACCTGACAGAACCAGCTGGGACTGACCTGCCTGGCCAGGCCCAGGTGCCGCATCTGGGCCACAAGCTGGGGCAGCTCAAGCACTACGAGCTGTGGCGTGATCACCTCCTGCACCAGGCCAGACACCTCCTTGCCATGCAGGTGGCTGAGGAACTCCACAGCTTCCACCGTCCAGGTGGAGCCGGGCTCATTCCCGCAGCCACCCAGCGTGGGGCCTCCGGAGGGCAGAGCATCAGCTACGATA